TTTTTTAAAAAGAACAAAAGATGCAAATCCTTGTTTTTTTGTTCTTCTCTTCCACATGCAGAGAGACAGAAACCAACAAATAGATAAGGATCTAGTCTGTTAAAGGTGTTGAGTATTTTGGACAAATATAAAGGAGTAAGGTGGGTGGGCATACTGCCCTGTGTGCAAGACTGGTGAACCTCATGGAGAAAGTGAGGTCTGAGCAAATGCTGGAAGGAGTGGAGTGAGCAGCAGTGTGGGCATCAGGCGAAGATTATGCATGGCAGAGTCCCATGGGAGCTTGAGGCATGGATAGGGGTAGAGAGCAGGGAGCATGGAGGATGATAACCTACTACTAACACTTGATCTGACGTGGGCCAGAGATCCTGAGGCAGCTTCCCTTGGCATAGCCCTGAGTGCTGCTTCTTGCTCTAGGTCTCCACTTGCCTGAGAGTATTTTATTTCCTGTCATGTCCCAGGTTAAAGATGACACTAAGAGACAACACCCATGTCTGGTGGAGTTAGTTCCCCAAGCTGCCTGAACAGGCACACAATTATAACTTCAAAAAGTTGAGTGCCTCAACTTTTTCATTTTCCAATCTTTCTCACCTAAAAAAAGCCAGAAAGAAATGTTTTACTTGAACTCAGTTATGAAGTTAGCTGAATTCCAGCTAGAACTTTCCATTAATGTGTAGGTGTATTGGATGAGTTTTTGTTGGGAATTTGACTCTAACCCTGTTGTGTTGTGTCTTTTTGCTCTAGGTCAGCATTTTCCAAAAGGTATCCTACAGGTATTGATGGATGTTACAGAACATGGGAATTTTGTGATCCAATGCAGTGCTACTCAGACCAGGAACCAGACCAGTCAAAAGCGATGACTGGTCTGGGACAAAATGAGTTAAGATATTAAGACTAATGGATTAAACATTTTATATCTATTTAAGGGAGAAATTTAATGCCTGTTAAGCTAATAACTTGAAATTGTGGGTATGTATCCTTTATGTATTCATTTTGAAATGTTAGTTACTCTAGAAGTTTTATTGTATTTATTAGAGATGCAGACCGTGATGGAACTGGAAATTTAAAACTAGTCCCTTGTCATGGGTGGTTTGAGAAGTACTGATCTGACCTGTATAAAGGGTGCTGAGTTAAAAGGGTTAAACAAGTGTCATTTTACTTCACACTTTTCACATCTGGGTACTGTCAGTAGCTAGAAATGGTGGATTCAGCCTTTCCTGTGTCTAGGCATACTGAGTCAGAGCACCCTATTTCAGAGAGTCCTCTGAGACTGCCTGTCTGAACAGTAGTCTTTTCTTTTGGGAAAACTCTGATGGGCTGTGTTTTTTGTTTGTTTGTTTGTTTGTTTTTAATCATCTCACAAAGGTGACTTTGCTCTTCACTGGCTCTCTACCCGTTGATCTCTTGAATTTGCCATCTCCCTTTACCAAGCTAAAACTGGTGCTGGGTAGAATAAATGAACACATTTTCAAATTTATGTAAAAAGTTCAGAAAATGATTTTGAAAACTCTGTAACTTTTCTCTTGGCCCCTTTCATCCTTGATGACTTGTAGAACTGGTTTTGTTCAAATAGGTCACTTACCTAGTACATTGTTGTCTGTTCTTTTGGTTTCTGTTTTGCTAAGGATAAGGAGTTATTTTCATTGGAGCCATTTTACCCAGGACACAGAACATAAAACTTAAACAGTGTTTCAGATTCTAGAATTTGGGAATAAACTAGGCATAGACTGTGTCTCTGTTCTAGTAGTTTGTTTGTATTTGTTTTGTTTTGTTTTGGGTTCTGGGGGTTTTATCCAGCACTCTTGCATTGAGCTACTCCCTCAACCCTTTTAATTTTTTGAGACAAATTGTCTTTAAAGTTGGTAGGATCAGTGAAGCTGAGTTACTTCAGGAAGATCACCTTGGTGGAGCAAGTCTTTGACCCTAAGCTGCCCAGTGCCAGAGACTGTTCTCTCATTTACTCTGCTGAGGCCCTTGCCATCTCAGTACATGAATAATAGAAAAACAGAAAACATCTTGTTCAGTGTGATAATAGTGTATCTATTTCCTGTCATTGATGTGGGGGCTCAGTGACAGTATTATGTTGAAGCCTTCGGCACCACCTATGTACAGCAGAGCAAGCACCATCCAGGTTTCTGCTTGCTAGATTTATAGTGTATCTCAGAGGGATTAACAACTTTTTTCATTGAATCCTGAGAATTGACAAACCCTCATTTTAGATGAAGGGGGAATTTAATGTAAATATAATATGGTACTCTTTCAGTGGCTTTCTCCCATGTAAATCATTAGCAGATGACTTACTTTACACCCAAACAGTCATTTGCATATTGTAGAAGAAGATGAAGTTCTAACATCTACTTGGGAATAGCACAGGTCACTAGAGTGTGCAACCAGGTGTCCCCGAGTGGACAACCTGGCTCAAATTCTAGTATCTGGTGTCATGTTCGATTAATACAATATTGTTCCAATTCCAGGCCTTAATTTCTGAATAAATAAGTCATGGTTCAGAAATTCGTATTATAATGGTGTTTAACCCACACACAACATACTTTTGTAGAATACTTTCTTGGGAAGTTAACACATAGATAGATGTCAGTGATTTTCTCCTGGCTATATATTTTTCCTTGAATGCCATTTGTAGGATTGGTACATATGTAGGCATAGGAGAGGGAGGAATGAGGGAAATAGGACAGTGGAGAAGAGCAATGCAGACGGTGAGAGACAGTAGGTAAGGGAAAGTCATCATTGCTGTCTAAAGGAGCAGGTGGTCCTCCCTCTGCTCTCTCTTCTGTATCTTTTTTATTTTATTATTTTTTTGGTCTCTTCCTGGCAGCAATCTTCCCAGTCCTGAATATTGTGAGTCTTTATGTTTAAACTGGGGCCTTTGTTCTTCTTGAGCTAAACTCTCTGTGGGTGTTCTAGTCATGCCATGAGGAGAGTTTCTCAAAGTGCCCCAGTGTTGATTCTTAACACACACCTGCTGTGAGAAGAGGAGGTGTCCATCCCAGCCTGCAGGTGACATGTTCCTCAGTGTATGATGAAGCAGTGTCACTGAAGTCTCTTCATCAACTGAGCTCCTGAGTCAGTTATCTGGCTGCACAGCCAGGAACCCTGAGTCATTCTGGACACCTCCTTTGTCTTAACCTTGAGTCCAGCCCATCATTAATCGCTCTAAGCATAGCTGCAATCGTTTCCCCTCTCCCAACTACCCCCATGTAAGCTGTCACTGACTGTCATCCAGACTACCCAGAGTCTCCTAACTGGTCCTCCCACCCTCTCTCTACATTCTGCATGTGGAATCTCACATTTACATATGCACATATGTGCCCCCACACACAGGTTGCTTAAAGCCCTTCATTGGATTCTCATTACTCTTGAACCCCATATTGTCACAGGAGCTGCAGGGCCTTACCCTCCCTTGTTCCTTGTCTTCCAGACCCCTTGACGTCCTCCAGTAAGTTCACATCTTGCTGCCTTGTCTGTTCTCTTTACCTTCACTGGAAAGTTCTCTGCCTAATGTTCAAACAGCCTTTTCCCTGCGTACACTGTCTTTACTTATGTCATTTTTTTGGTAGGGATTTTCCCACCGCAACTTGTCCCCTCTTAGAGCATCTTACAGAATTTTTATAGCTTTAATTTCAATACATAATCTTTCTTGTCAAAGTTATTTAATATTTGCCTTGAAGATCTTGAAGATTTCTCTGCAAGAGAAGTTACAGTTAAAGAAGAAAATCTGAAGCTAAAACCAGAAAATCAAGTTCTTGAACAATATATAGAAAACCTCATGTATGCTTCTAGTGTTTCTCAAACAAGTGACACAAAAAGAAAAAAAAATAAGAGATTGGTTTCCCTTCTGTTTTATGGAATTTCTGTTGCTCATTTTTTCCCTTTAAAGTTTGGAGAAATTCCTAAAATTATAGTACTTTTGCTTGTGGCTTTATTGAATATTTATGAAGATAATTGCAGATCTAGGCAAAATTAACTGCATAGCAAGAGACTTCCATGAGTTTGTGTATTATGTTAGTCTATTAAAATGTGCAAATGTATCATAGAAACTTTATAATTAGAACTTCATATATTTATGAGACTTGAAAATGAATGTTTTATCAAATTTGCTTTCATATATAGGTTTAGCACTATCTTTTATTATATAGGCTTAGTAAAATATATAAGAAAATAACCACCATGTTGTGAAAAAGTGAACAAAGTCATGTACTGAGTGCACAGCTTTATGTACTCTGTCTCTCACTTGTGCCTAAAATTTCCCCTCCTCTAAGAAAAAAAAAAAAAGATTTCACATTTGGAAAAGTAATTTAAATAGTTAATCACTTTTGAGAGTAACCTGACTCTAGTTGTTGAAACTCAACCAAAATAAAATACTCTCTTAGCTAGGGCTTGTCCTGTGTGATATTTAATAATGAGAGAGGATTGCTGGCTTGTCTTTAGGCAATTGGAAGATGGAATAAAACTATAAAAATGGACTCATACTGGGAAGATTTGTTTAAAACTTTATTTTGCATGAAATAACCCACTTATTACCTGGAAGGATAGGAGTTCTGATCATGTGTGTGTTCAAGATAGAAAATCTTGAGAAAAAATAGAAATGGGGCAGGACTTGCAAGTACTAGTAAGTAACTCCAAATGCTTTCACTCCAGATTTTTGTTTCCTCTGACAGAACAGACTTTTGGTGAATGAAAGATAAATATGAACGTACATTAAGTTTGAATAACTTTATGTAAGCCACATATTAGGGAGATCAATTAGATCAAGTCTTGCAAAATTCCTTAAGAGACTTTATTAATAACAAAATCATGAACACATGTTAGAATATACATGTACAATAATGGTAATTTTAATCTTAGTACTTTAGGACTTTATTTTCCCAGAAATTTTTGTAATTCAACCATGTAGTTTGCAGAGGTTAAGTCATTTAGCAATTTTTTTAGATTTATTTTTTAGATTCCATTTGGCAAGGGAATCCATATTGGAAATAATATTAAGATAAGAGGAAAAGAGATTACTAACATAGCTTAAGTTTATTAGATTTGGGCTACTTTTAATCATGGAATAATCTTGTGTATTAGTGTAAGATTTGATATGTCACTTTAGCTGTATGAATTTATATTTAAACCACAAACATTTTGCATCTTTTTTGTCACCTAATTTACAAATATTTAACATTGTGCTACAGTTCTGCTTTGCTGTTTAATAAAATGCTCTTACATAGGAAAGAAAAGCATTTTGACATTTCCACCTTATGGAATACTTCAGGGAGGTTAAAAAACAAACCAGCTTTATGTGAAAGGATAGTAATCTTAAGGTTGTATTTTCAAGTCAAAAGAGGAAGTTATAGAGAAATAACTTGTATACCCTTGTTTGTGGGAAAGGCAAACCATCAATGGCATACATGTGCACATGCATACACACACACACAGACAGACACAAACACACACACACACACACACACACACATTTTTATTTAGTATGTGTCAACTCCAGGCAGATGGTGATAAACCAATCCTAATTCCCTTTTAAGTTTGGGAGCCAGCTCATCAAAAATTATAAAAAGTACATTTCTATTTTCTGTAAATACTAGATTTTGTATTTGGCCTGGCCATATTTTGAGGTTTTAAACTTGCTTGGAATGCCTGTACTTGCATTGAACTCACCCATGCCTGGATTTTCCTGAGAAGTTAACAACTCTCTCTGAAAATTTAGTGGTGCCTTTTAAATTCTGATGTTGGGATCTGAATTAATTTTCTATCTTGAAATGTTGAGCCATTTAGATCATTAACTTACTATCTGCTTTTGTGTTATGCTTGTCAAAATCCTGTTAGCTGTTAGTTCTCAACACACCCCTTGTTGCACCTTTTTGTGCTATAAAATCTCTTTCCATAAATCTGGGGTACTGATCTCTAGCCCATGTTGGGAGAGACAGCCACTGATCAGTTCTCTTTGTGTACACAAATAGAAGATTTCTTTAATTTGATTTTAAAATGGAGTTTTTAGTCTTTTCTTTGCATCAGGTTTCAACAATGTACAAGAACCAGCAGCAGTCAGTGCCTCTGTAGAAGGAAAAGGCACTAAACAGAAAGACCTGGGGGGAGATTTATGTTTGCAGTTATTCCTTTTTGTGCCATTTCAATATATAGGGTCCTGCACTTTATTCAAAAGTAAAAAAATTGAAAATAAAAAAAAATTGTTTAGCTTTAAAACAACTGACTTATGCTGTGTTTTGAGGTTGGAGTACTATCTCCTTCACAGCCATTAGGTTGGGTTTTCTGGACCCATGGAAGACAACTGTAGCTCATGTTTGCTTTTATTTTGCAGGACTTTGTTGGCACTAGGATGTCATGTGAGTATATTGGATGAATATACTGAAGAAAGGTGAAAAAAAATGAAGCCTCCAAAGAAGTAAGTTGAGTGACAGGCTGTATCCACCCTTCAGGGTGCTGTTAGTGCAGCCTATGCAGATTGAGGGAGACCTGGGTGCCTTGCTTGTACTTGGCCATCCACTGCAGATTCAAAAATTCATATGAGCTGAATTACATATGCTTCTTCATGTCTGTGGTGGACAGTAGACTCTCAGGTTTCTGAGAGGAGAAACTAAGCTCAGGGTGTGTTTGACAGTGTTTTATAAAAAGAGTCATTTCTATTGTTTGTGTGTGAGAGCACTTATATCTGAATTTATGACTTTATGTGACTTTCCATTTCTTATCAATTGTTTATAATTTTATTTGCTTTATTCAGAAAACATGTTTGAGGAATAATAAGAAAGCAAGTTTTGTTATCCCTATTTGAAGATGAGAAAGCCAAGCAGACACATGCTGAGTGGCTCTGCCTGCAGTGCTGTGACCTATACCTGTGGCAATGCTTAGCCTTGTAAACTCTGCATCCTCACTGCTAAAGGTCATTGAAGTAACCTGCTTCATAGGGAAGTGTTAGGTACTAAATGATCAGGTATATGATGAATGGTAGCTACTTTGTGATATTATTATTTCCTCATTTATTCTTACTTAAATATTTAAGCCACTATTTGCAGGCCACACATTATTTTCCCCACACTTTTTATTGGTACATTATAATTGTATATAACAATGGGATTTGTTGTAACATATTTGCACATGCACACAATATAACAATATCATTTGGCCAATAGCACTCCCCAGCACTTTCCTCATACCTCCACACTTCCCTAACCTTGGTCTCTTTCCTTTATAGATATCACTTTGATTTTCATGAGGTCTACTCCCATCTTTCTTTTCTTTTTTTCCTCTCTAGCTTCTGCATATCAGAGAAAACACATGACCTTTGACCTTCTGAGTTTGACGCAAATTTGTGGAATTTTTAAGAACAAAATAATTGGAAACTACCTAACTTGCAAGAGAATTCATTATCCTCTCATTAGAGCCATTTATATTTTTCAGGTTTTTGGAATGTATATGAAAAAGGCATTATTAGTGCTAAAAAGATTTAAAAAATAAAAATCCCAACAAAACAAATAAGTATTCCTGCTTTTCTTTCACCTGGGCAAGAAAATGGAATTATTAATTTCATGTAATTTTGCAAGCATAACAGTTAATTTTTATACTGTTCTCTGTGTGTATAATGTGTGTTATGTGTATGTTTGTGTTTCACTAAAATCTTGGGGTCAATTTACCTTGATCCATTAGTGTATTTTTACCCATGTAACCTAGTTGGTAAAAGTTGGCTTTCACTTTCAAAATAAATAGTCAAAATAATTATCTTTTGTCATAAAAATCTGACTTTCTTTTCTGTTTAATCAAATGCATTAATTTATGTCCATGTAACAATTATTTGAGTTCTGACTTCTAAATTTAAGAGAGTGTTTGCCATATGTCTTCTAGAGAAGCCCAGTCCTCTCCCTGTGGAATTAAATAAGAACTCCTCTCATCTGCAGTCTGTGCTATTTCCTAATTCACCATGAAACACCATTTAATTTTTACTCCTTTTGCCACAGTTAGGGAATAGATAGTAACTGGCATCAACATGGATGCAGGTCAGCATATCTGAAATGTTGGAGAGTTTCAGAACCATTTTAAAGAACTTTGGCATCATCACACCAAGTTGTGTATTCACACACCTTCTCAGCCAGTGGCTCCACCCTTGGAGAGGTGCACTTGAGAAAGGGTGTGCCAAAAGACTTGCACGTATTGCCTTAGTGATATCATTTGCAATAGAAAAAAATAAATAAAGGCAGTATTGGGGTGGGTGGAATATTCTTCAGTAGGAAAATGAATGATTTTCCATATATTCTTAATATAATGAATGAATTATAGTTATGAATGTCAATGTAGGCAAACATAAAATATAGTGTTGAGGATAGAAAAAACATCTCACCAGGTGACATAAAGTCAAGACACCATACAAAGGCAGTCACAATCTACATATGTACACATGTGGAATTTGTTATACACTGAAGGTTCTCTCGCAGGTAAGTAGAAAAATGATGGACTAATCAGTCCATGGAGATCAGATCATTGATTTCAAAATGGGAAAAGTACTAGATTTCTCCCTTGCATCATATACAGACATTTGCAGGAAGAGATCCAATTGCATAAGACAGAAGTTTTTGAAGTCAACAGCGTAGGCTATCTTCATGACCTTGGAAAGGGGAAGACTTTTCTGAAAGCAATGAAGCACTCATTCACACTTCATTTAAAACATTAATTCAATAAAATATTCTTGGAGAGGACTTTTCATCATATCCTGTGTAATGTGTGTCATTCCCTTTGCCTTGCTTTATCTTTCCAATCATACTTGTGATATAGTATCATTATTTGCCTATTTTCCATCCTGGCTTC